GCATTAAAAAAAAATAGGCTATTTTAACTTCATACCATTGGAGAAACAGATCTAGAAGACCAAAAGAATTTTTGACCTGGGAATTCAGTCATAAAACAAATGAACAAAAAACCCTCAGTATTTACTTAGACACTTGGTTTGGCTGTTTACTTAACTGAACAAATCAAACTTCAGTTAACAATTAATGTGGACAACCGTGAGGATCTGAAATGCAAGGAGGGGAAATGTGTATCACCAACTTTTATTACAGACCATCTTGAATACAATGGAAAACATTCATTTATTCAACCTATAGTGAACATCACCTATACCCAGGTTCTGTGTCACTGGATATAAATAATACAATGATGAGTAATAAGACTTCTTTTCAGTATGTTTACAATCTAGAGATTATTAACCAAGCCCCCAAAGCCTACAAAAATTAAAATTCTGACTCCACTCAGAGGAGATAGCTTTCCACTTAACTTATAAATTCTTTTAATGATCCTTGATAATATTTGAACAGGAACATGTCACAGAGCAGACAAAGACTGTCTCATTTGGATAACTGGAGAATGTTGATTATAATAATGGTAAAATATTCAGTAAAGGTAGTGGCCAGTTTTCCCACATTAAAGAGATATAAGCTAGCACCTATATGACACTAAATGAATAAGCTATATGAAATATGAACAAAGCACTGTAAAAAATGTACCTAATAGATCAAATAATATAGGAGTACCTGAATACTACCCCTGTCCTCCATCAAAAGGGGAAGTCTGGGAGTGGCAAGAACATCTTAGAAGAAAATTCAGAATCAGAACTTGAAATAAGGATTTAAACAAAACTCTTCAACTGCTATTCAAATTTGCTCCCTTTTTTCCAAACCCTTTTTTAGTTTATATTTCTTTCTTCTTCTTCTTCCTCTAATTACTCCTTTCTTTCTCCAAAAATCACTTTAGCAACATTAAAGAAACTGTCACTACTGTAGAAGCTAAGTGTTATATAGTGTCATACTTGAACTTTCTAGAATAAGAAATTAATAAAAATGGGAAATTAATAGAAAAACCAGCAACTATGTAAACTGTAGACTCCTTTCAAAACAACAGAATAGTCACTAAATACCAGTGGTTATACTGGTAAATGTTTAACGATCATCTGGAGGAAGGAGCCATGATTTGTGGTATTTACCAATTTCCCTGGTATAGAGATTCCCACCACCACAATTTCAAACTACCAACATGACATCACAAGAGCTGGGACGAGTTGCTAAACATCAGCCCTCTTGAGCCTGTATGAGTCAGCACCAGCACATCACTGCTTAATATTCACCTATTAATCAAACTTATAAAATTCTTCTATAAAATTTTTCAAACTTATAAAATTTTAAGATTAAAAGAGCTCTCAAGCTACAAGTAACTAGACTTTACTTTCACTTTAGGCAAGGTCTTTAAGGAAGGCCATCCTCCACATACCTACTCTAAATTGTTCCTCCTGCTACTTGATTTTCACTTGCCAAAACTAAAGTAAACAAAAAAGCTGGTAACAACTCTTATAAAATCCTTCTTGACTGTTACTAGGGAAATTGGTGTTTTTATTAACACCAATAGTCTAAGTGGTAGATTCAAACTATCTAAAGGTGACTGACAAAGGAAGGCCAATTCTCTTTTAGATACACATCTGAAAGATCTTCTTTTTACAAAATCTTTTTTTCTTTTTAAAGTTATCAACAACCTTCAGCTGGCCAACCTGTAAATGCTAAGCCATCCCAAAATGCAAATGCCAGGCCCACACCAAGGACTCCTGACCATGAAATACAAGGATCAAAAGAAGCTCTGATTCAAGATTTGGAAAGAAAGCTAAAATGCAAGGACAGCCTTCTTCATAATGGAAATCAAGTGAGAAAGATGTCTATTCTATACAAAAAGCCAGTTAAACTATAACATCTATCTTCAATGAGAAAGTTCTTTCTGTCTCACAGATCAGTGAGTGTAAAATCGGCAAAGAATAGGATAATCTTTTTATTTTTTTATTTTTAAAATATTTTATTTATTTATCTTTAGAGGGCAAGGGAAGGAGAGAGGGAAATACCAATGTATGGTTGCCTCTCATGCATCCCCTGCTGGGAACTGGCCTGTAACCCAGGCATGTGCCCTGACTGGGAATTGAACCATGATTGTCTGGTTCCCAGCCTGAGCTCAATCCACTGAGCCACACCAACCAGGGCAGGATAATTCTTTTAAAGGGAAATATTTGGGTCCTATTTCACATTTCTCTGCATGAAGTCACCTCTTAGTTCTGAGTTGGAAAAAAACAAAACAAATGAAAAATCAATCTGAATGATTTCATAATTATCTGTTTTAAGCATTACCCTCTCATAAAATATGTCTAATGACCAAATAACTAATAGGAAATACTGTCAACCTGACTTCTTCATGTGCCTTGGTATATATTATTGATAGACAAATAGCTATAAATATTATTATGTAACTTTTTGTGTACATTGTATTAGTCACCTATCTTTGGGACAATAGTACTGTATGCCTCTAACCCAAAAACATTTAACACATCAATTGTACTGCTTTCAACCAGAAGTTAGTAAGTCAAATATTCAGTGTTCATTTAATAAGAGCTTTTTCTGAATATGAGGACATGCAATAGTTTATTCTAAGACAGAGCCAATTGGAACACACAAAACAAGAAGGGAAAGAATTTCCTTTTACCTGGGAGAGCCTTATTTAGGGGTAATCATGTCTACCTTTCCAAGGAGCAAAAGAAAAAAAGTGAGTATTACACATGAGAGAAGTGGCACTAGATTGGAAGGAAATACTTATAATTCAACACAGAACTATACTTTCTTGGTAAAATTCTCAGTGGTTTTAAGTTAAACCTGTACAAACAACTTTTATTAGATCCCATTACCCTTCTTCTTAATGACTTACTTCTTTAAAGCGACTGACATATGAGGAGAAGATGGCGCGCAGATTGCTAGGACCACAGAATGCTGCTGCTGTATTTCAAGCTCAAAATGACAGTGAGGCACAAGACTCCCCACAGGTAAGTTAAAACAATCTTCATCTAACTGGAGCTCTTTTAGTGTGTGTGAATTTTAAATGTCTACTATTCTAAACATTTATAAATAGCATTTAAAGCAAAAGTCGATCACTTTCATGGGAGAGGCCATGATGGGCTAAAACATATAGTTTAAATTTTATCCCATTTTCTGATGGTTCTAATATCTGCTAAGAAATGACACAAGGACAAAAAACACCAAAAGGCTAATGGAGTCACTTTTCATCTGGACGATTATGGGTCAGTTAGATGTAGAACTTTTCCTACAATGTCTACATGGACAGAGAATTTATGGGTTGTAAATCTTCAGCAGAACAGAAGTTAAAACTCTAAACTAAAGTAATTATAACCTTTTCTCACAAACTGTTTATCATTTCAATGTTTTAAAATATAGTACTCATGATACTAATAAAACTTCCAATTCCTTTTATCATGTTCCCATATTCACGATTGCTTATTAAAAACAAAACAAAAAATAAGCCTTATGAGTAATGGCTCTAGGATTAACAAAAGCATCCTTTTCAGAAAGGGATTAACTTTATGAAAAGAATGAAGTGAATATCCATCCCACAGGCTTGTACCTGACCAACCTCATTTTAACAAGCAAAGTTAACCTTGAATAGAAATTCATAGTTGGAGAGGCAGACTGAACTGTGATTGTTCTATATTCCTTCTGTAGTTACCTTTCATTCCTTCCCAAAAAAGTCCACAAGAAACTGGGAGCTAAAGGGATGAAACTAGGCAATCAAGAATTCCAAGCTTCTGCCCTGGCTGGTGTGGCTCAGTGGACTGAGCTCCAGCCTACAAACCAAAGGGTCACTGGTTCGATTCCCAGTCAGGGCACCTGCCTGGGTTGCAAGCCAGGTCTCTGGTAGGGGGAACGTGAGAGGCAGCCACACACTGGTGTTTCTGTCCCTCTCTTTCTCCCTCCCTTCCCCTCTCTAAAATAAATAAAGACAATCTTTTTAAAAAGTAAAAAAAGAATTCCAAGCTTCTAAGTATAGGAAGCTGAAAATAAGATTTTTGTTTGTAATATGAGACTAATCCTACTAAGAAGAATGGAGCAGAGTCTAATAGACCAACTAGAAACTTAAAACAGAACTTAACTCTCTTTTTGGCTACTAAACACTTCAAGCATTCATTCATTTGACTAATTTATATGGAGCACCTACAGCAAGAGTAAGACACAAATCTATCTCTATAAGCAGAAATAATTCAAAGCAACATTACATTGATGATGATTTAACTTACAAATTTACAGTATATGATTTCAAAGGCAAGGATGAATTGTTTTCCTCATTCATTCTTTGAAAAACTTTAAAATGAAGGTGATGGTAGATAGCAGCAAAATATATCATTATGAAATCAGAAAATAGAAATCTTACATTTTTGTACACTTTAAACAAAATGTCATCAAACTATGTAAAACCGAAGTCTCACATGTATTAATACAAATATATACATATTCAAACCACCTTAAGGAGAAAAAGTAAAAAACTAACTCTGGATATTTTAACTGGATTATTTTTATTTTTTACCAAAAACTTAGTTGATTTTGATCACTGAATTGTTCTTTTGATGTTTTGCTTAGAAATCTTTGTTTAGAAAATCTTAACGCTAGCCAAAAATTATGACAATTTTAAGAATTTTGTTTTAAAATAACAAAATACATTAAACATGCTCATCCCAAAATAAATTATTTGTAATGATCTGCCGTATTGTTGTACAGGTGTTTTTCATATATTCAGATATAGAAACTGCATTTTCTACTTCTTTGTATCTCCCCCTAAGGCAAGCACAGTGAAATACACAAAATAGGCACTAAATATTTAATCAATTTATTAATTCTATTATAATTTTCACCTGTTCCTGATTTTATTCTCAAATACAAATAATTTTCTGGTGCTCAGATATAAATTCTAAAAGATGTTTGCTTAAATTAAATATACCTTTATTAAGCAGGAAGGAACTAATGTTGTTTCCAAAGCCTTTTCATAGCTCTACACATATCTTCCATGGTGTCCATCAGGACTTTGTGTCATGAGCTAAAAAGAGAAGTATTTTCCAGTCTAATACGTGTTTACTGCTGTTGGTGCCACTTTTGAGCAGTAGGCATAATACCCCATATCTACCGCCAACACAAGTGACTTCATATCTATTCCTGTTTTACTGAAGGACAATCTGTACTATGTGCTCCCATTTCAAATATACTGGAGGACACATCATCCTTTGTCATTAAATAGTCACCTGAAAAAAGAACCACTTTTCATAAATCATGCCTGTGGAACAACCTTTTCATTCTGGGATTTTCTTGCTAGAGTATTAGAAGGATAGTTTGGATGTTTTAAATGCTTAAAAGCTTAATATATAGGGTGGGGTGGGCGGGGATGGGAGAAACAGACAGAAAACTGTACTTGAAAAATAATTAAATTAAAAACTTAATATATAGAACAAATCATAACTGTAAGAATACAGCCAACATGGAAATGTCCCTTTCAACTACAACTACTTAGTTCTGTTTCATTTCAAGTTAACAATCGCATGTTGACATTATCACTTTGTTTTAATTTCAAGCAGCACAATTCAGAACATGCACGGCTGCAAGTTCCTACACCACAAATAAGGTAAAAAAAATAATTTAAATATATGTTTTACTATCTAAAATGTTTTCAGCTTAAAAACGTGATATTCATCCCTGGCTGGTGAGGCTCAGCAGATTGAACACTGGCCTGCAAACCAAAGGGTCACCCATTTGATTTCCAGTCAGGGCACATAGGTTGTGGATCAGGTCCCCAGTTGGGGGTGCATAAGAGGCAACCAAACATTAATGTTTCTCTCCCCCTCTTTCTCCTTCCCTTTCCCTCTGTCTAAAAATAAATAAACAAAATCTTTTTAAAAATGTAATATTCACAGAGCCCTCAGGCTTCCTACATACATTTTATAAATTACAATGTGAATTTTCTAATGCCAGGAATGATGGTCAAAATTTTACCCATTAAATATTAGAACTATCTTAGAGTAAGTATTTTAAATGTTTTGGTCAAATAAGCCAGGACCGTGTTTCCATGTTAAACAACTTTTTCATGATAATACAAACCCAATTCTAACAACCTTTACATGTGGTAAGAATTGTCCATGGGGTACTCTGCATTTTAATAGATCAGTTTCTTGAATTCGTGGCACTGTGAAAAAGAAAGACATGAAATTTGTACCAGGTGTTTCTCAACTTCTACCGTTTCCAACAGTTATCAAACATGCCAGAGCTAAATACAATCCTAAGGCCTCTCTCCATTGTTATCACACCATCAAACAGTATAGACTTTGGGGTTTCAAATTTGATGGCTAAACTATATTTGTGTGAAAGAAAGAACAACAACAACTTTTCTACTAAGTGGTTATTAAAATATCTTTGTAGAAGTAGATCATCTTCAAGGGGAGGTGTGAATGATGAGGATGCAATCCAGGAGAAATTTTACCCGCCTCGTTTCATTCAAGTGCCAGAGAACATGACGATTGAAGAGGGAAGATTCTGCAGAATGGACTTCAAAGTAAGAGAAGAGTTTTTAAGTATTGGAGGAAAATTAACCATGGGATATTAAATCTTGACAAATGTCCTCTTCCTTTTCATACTTTGCTACACAGCTTGAGAAGCAGTATGTATAGTGGGTAAGAACAGAAATGCTGGACCCAAGTTACCTGTGTTTGAATCCTGGCTCTGCTACTTTTCAGCTACATAACTTCTCTGTCACTTAACCTCTTTGTGCTTTTGTCTCATCTGTAAAATGAGAATAACAAATGTACCTACTTCATCAAGTCCTTTGAGGGTTAACTGAGTAAACAAGCATATGGTATTCACAAGAGTGTCTGCCATCTAATAAATACTCTAAGTGAAGCTATCATAACAGGGTCTCTAAAGTAAAATGCTTCTATAATTCTTCTCCATTAAGAAACTCAAGCAACACTGCTTTCTCTCAGCCTAGAACAGTTCTTCAAGCTAGAATAGCTTTTCAGAAAAGCTAACACTCTCATCATCTTCATTTTGAAGAATTTTTTCTTATAAAATGTTTTTCCAGATTCCTTATGAAGTCAGTGTATGGATGGATTCTATTGTTAAGGCTTATATAGAAACACTTAACAAACTGTCACCCACACACCAGAACTGCAGCTCGAGAACATTGTTTTGGAAAGGTGTTCATTGGATCAGCAAGCCTCACACAAATGTGTTTCTGGGACTGCATTTGTAGTCACCATTGGCCAGAAAAGCCATATGACTTCCATACTTCTTAATCAAAAGATCTTAGAGTCTGAGATTGCATATGAAAGAGCTAGATAGGGTTCAAGATAGTCTGAAAATACTATATTAATTTCAAGAGTTTTAACTTGTACTGTTTTGTTAAAAATTATTGAAAGCAAATACCTTTTTTAAGCTCTTTCTTTGAATTTTCAATCACAAACCCACTCAGGTACTGAAATTATTAAAATCATAGACAAATTGGTCCCAGTGATGCTGTAATTAAAAATTCTGTCATCTCCTTGTGTTTTCAATCCTAGGTGAGTGGACTGCCAGCTCCTGATGTGTCATGGTATCTAAATGGAAGACCAGTTCAATCAGATGATTTACACAAAATGATAGTGTCTGAGAAGGGTTTCCATTCACTCATCTTTGAAGTGGTCAGAGTTTCAGATGCAGGGGCTTATGTATGTGTTGCCAAGAATAGAGCAGGAGAAGCCACCTTTACTGTGCAGCTGGACGTCCTGGGTAAGCCTTCCAAGAGATCATAAAGTATCTTTAATCCTGCAGTATTAAAAAAGAAAATATTTTTAGTCTACGGCCATACCACCCTGAATGCGCCCGATCTCGTCTGAAAAAAGAAAGTATTTTTAAAAATCCCAGAAGACTTCATATTTAAGGTTAATGTCTACACTGTACAACCAGTAGAACCCCAGTTTTTACCCACAGCCACGGATGGATATGTGAGTATGGGGAGAATGATAGTCTTGAGGAAAACTCAGTGAAACTAGAATGACAGATCTACCACCAAAGCTTTTCTGGAAAGGAAACAAAGAAATTTCAGACAGACCAAATAAGGTAGTAGAAATATTTTTTTAACCTCACCAGAGGACATGCTTATTGATTGTCAAGAGAGGGAAAGGGAGGGGGAGAGAGAGGGAGAAAAACATTGATGTGAAAAAGAAACATCTATTGGTTGCCTCTTGTACATGCCCCAACCAGGGATTGAACCTGCAACCTAGTCATGTGCCCTAACCAGGAAACAAAACCATGACCTTTTCCTTCACAGGATTATGCTCCAACCAACTGAGCCACATCAGCCAAGCCAGAAGCATTGCTATAGATGTAACTAACACGTCTTAAAGTGTAAAATTTTAGTCTAATCATTTCTCTGGTCTACAGTCTAAAACAATCTAACTCACATTTTTACAGAATTGTCATAATCATGCACCATTTAAAATTGAAGAGTAAATATCAACTTTTAGCTTTACACTGTATTCCTTTTACTAGGAAACTCATCTGTAATTATGACAACAAAAACATGCCTATTTGCTTTAGAAAACAGAAATGGCAAAACTCATGTCTCAAATTTTCTTTGTGAGGCAGTTCTCATACAATTGATGTTCTGTTTTAAAATATTACAATTTGTTTTAAATATCTCACATTTATAATGGCTTAAGCCATGGTATATCACATAAGAGAGATTTTGCTGTAATTCATTGTTATATAAAAGCTTGATCAAGTTAGAAAATTTTCCTCTGTCTGTATTCTACCCAGATCAATAAAAAAATCTTTAAGATTATTCTATGAGCCCTGCCTGGTGTGACTCGGTGGATTGAGTGCTGGCCTGCAACCAGAGTCGCTGGTTTAATTCCCAGTCATGGTACATGCCTGGATTGAAGGACAGGTCCCCAGTAGGTGGCCCACGAGAGGCAACCACACTTTAATGTTTTTCTTCTTCTTTCTCTCTCCCTTCCCTTCTCTCTAAAAATAAATAAATAAATAAATTTTAAAGATTTTTCTATAATATAATAAGGGGGTTCAAACTAAGGAAAAACTAGAGATCTAGAAATCAAAAAACAAAAACAATTCAAGTGATTAAGTTTTGGGTAAATCCTTCTTGTGCCAATAGCTACAGAAATACTATAATGTTAGAGCTGAAAGAGACCTTGGCAGGCATCTGTCCAATCAACTAATTTCTCCTTCAGAAAAATTAAGGTTATGGTATTATAGTATCATTTCCTCTTTTCTCTCAGGTATTTGAAGAAAAGTAAAGACATACAATTAGTGACATCTGTGTATTACTTTATATTGATAGTTTACAAAGCATTTCTTCATTCATTATTTCAATTGATCCTCACAAATAATTCTGTATAGTAAGCACAACAGTCACTATTACTTGGGTATTTTATTAATTTACAGTGGATAAAACTATGCCTCATAGAAACTAAACAAATTTTTCCAAATTTGGCATGGCTAACAAATAGAGAATCTGAACCCAAGTTGTCTGGTACTCTTTCCACCACTCATGCTGCCTCCCTATAGAAGACATGGCAAGTGAGGACAGACTTAAATTCTTTGAATAAAACATGATTATAAATTCAACACATCACTACCTTACTGTTTTAGAACTCTTAAAAATGGTATTGTATATTATTTTAGTTAAAACTAAAACATAAAGCTTTATGTTTTATGAATCAGTAGTGACTGACCATTAGAGAAAAAACTATTAGGGACAGATGTGGGAGGGTTATTTTGTATTTCACTTTTTCATTTTAAGAAAGAACTGACTGGTCTTGTCCTGTACATCGCATTGTTACAAAATTCCAATCATGTTATTACTCTTTATAACTTTTATATCAACATACAAATTTCATACTTTGATTTGACTGTCATTTTTATAATATTTCAAATAGTTGATTTTTTATTAATATGTAGCAAAAGAACATAGAAGAGCACCAATGTTTATCTACAAACCACAGAGCAAAAAAGTTTTTGAGGGAGACTCGGTGAAGCTAGAATGCCAAATCTCAGCTGTACCTCCACCAAAACTTTTCTGGAAAAGAAATAATGAAATGGTACAATTCAACACTGATCGAATAAGGTAGGATAAGTATTTCTAGACTTACCTATAGTTTACTTTGGTGAATCCAGTTATACTTTGAAATACATTAAAAATGGCATGCATCTATGATCTCAGTTTGTCTTGTTTTTAAAACATATACAGAAATATCATAAACCTCACTAAGCCATAATCCATTAATCAGAAATTTAAAGCATAAAGTAAGCTAGCATCTATAGTACCTTGTTACTAACAATAAACAATAAAGTAGGCTAGCATTTACCTAGTTACTAATAGTAAACGAGATTTGGTGAGGGGATGTTTAATTCAAGAAAACCAGTAGCTATTTGGCCATGATTAAATACAGTCTCAGAATTTCCATATGCTTCCTTTTCTTATTAGTCTGACTATATAGATTGGGGCATTATAAATTGCTTTCACAGGAAAACCAATTCCTATACTTACATTTTATAATTGTTTCTTTTCAGCTTATATCATGATAACTCTGGAAGAGTTACCTTACTGATAAAAGATGTAAACAAGAAAGATGCTGGGTGGTATACAGTGTCTGCAGTTAATGAAGCTGGAGTGACCACATGTAATACAAGATTAGATGTTACACGTAAGTCACATTGTTATAAAGGGCTATGTCTAGTGCTATAAAGGATTTAAGACTTAATAAGAAACACAAATGCTGGCAAAGCACAAAATCTGAGGGATTTTCTCCATACATAATCAGTTTTGATTTTTTTCTTTCCTGTTTGATAATGAATATCTTGTGCCACCCATTTGTTTAAGTTTTCTGAATTGACTTTTATTTGATCTATTTCAGCCCGTCCAAACCAAACTCTTCCAGCTCCTAAGCAGTTACGTGTTCGTCCAACTTTTAGCAAGTATTTAGCACTTAATGGAAAAGGTTTGGATGTGAAACAAGCTTTTAACCCTGAAGGAGAGTTTCAGCGTCTGGCAGCTCAATCTGGACTCTATGAAAGTGAAGAACTTTAACAAATTTACCAACATTGGAAAACACAACTACACTATTAGTAATATATTCACTTAATTTTTAAAATAAATCCATAGCTGTATTAACAGATTATGGCTTTCATTAGGTAATATAACTAATATATATTTATAATATTATTTATCCTTTGACTTTTGCACATTCTATCTACATCTCTGGTTTGTGAAGCCAACACAAAATTTGGGTACATGGGTTTGTAATTGTAGAAAACTATCTTAAAATGTGGGATTTTAACATTTAAGTTATACACATTTAACAACTACAGGTTATGAATTAATATCAACTTTTTAGACACACCTAATGCTTATAATAAGATTTACTGGTACTGCTTTCTAAATACTGTTTTACCCATTTTCTCTTCTAGGAATACTAACATGGTATAAATTATCTGAGTGTTCCACAGTTTTATGTCAGAAGACAATAAAATTTCAATTATTTAAAACAGACTGTCTTCTCTTCACGAAAGTCTAGATCATTAACATAAAGCTTCTGGTTTTTACTTATGAAATAACTAGCAAACCCTGTGAGTAACAAGTTCCAAAAGAGCAACAATGTTACATTCCAGAGCATGAGTATGTCTTCCTAGTAAAACTCACAGCTCAGCCAATTCCTCCTGAAACCTTTTTCCAAGGTTTACACTTCAAAGGCATGAGGAACTCTCTCCTGAAATCTGGATTTTGTTTTAACTGAAGAACAGATCTCTAATTCTTCAACATCTCTGAGACTCCTGAGCTTAATGGAGTAAGAATAGTCTGTAGAGTCATGTTTAATTCTTATATTTGATTTAAATCCGAAGAGCTCTATTTTGGTGTTTTTCTCCAGCCTACATTTCAAGTTCCGGTAACCTGTTACATTGCAAAGCATCATCTTGTGAGCCTCTGAGAGTCCAAGCCCAGGAAAGGGCAAATCCTTTCCCTGAACCACTCTAACCTCGGACAGCGGCCTTCGCTTTTCCTCAGACCTCGGTCCGCAGCCGTCAGCCCCGCGCGGGGCCTGTCCTGCTCCTTTCAGCTTTGGTCGCCTCTGACTCTCCCTGCTGTGTAGCCTAGTTCTGCTTTTTATCTGAGCACAAAACAGCATTTATCAACATCAGTCTACACCTCTTTCAGGGGAATAACAAAAGTCGCTTTATTTTTTTTTTTTTCCTTTCAAAACAGCTTGATGGTTTTCTTTGAAGGCTGCTCTGGGGTCTTTCGACTGATTTCCCTCTTATTTTCCTTTCACCAACATGAGGATCCCTTGTCTCACATCCGGGAGGGGCTTGGATGCCTTAATTCACGGCCAGAGTTGTTTGGCCGTTTCTGCAGCTGGTTTACAAGCCTCCTCCTCATCTTTGCAAAGCTTCAGGGCCAGATGCGCGTCTGGGCTCCCAAGGACTACTGTTTTGGCCTACCCTTTACATAATCACTATAGATCTGGGGTTAAAAAAAAAGAAAATTATTTTAACGTTCCCTTTAGCCAGCCTGGGAGGAAAGACGGGTGGAAGCTATTTCTAACATCATCTCTCGATTAATAACCAGTTTCTACAAGAGCAGCGGCAGCCTGGGTCTTGGTCGGGCCCTCGGGCCCTGGCGTCCAGCAGACCTTGCCCAACAAGCCGTGGTCTCTGGTAAATTTATCGATGCTCCCAGCACCCTCGGTTTCTTCAGAACGAAAACGAGGACAAAACACCTACCTTTCAAGAAGGGGGGTGGGGTGTGAAGACCAAACAAGCCAATAAATATTAAAGGTATTCAAGAAAGAGCATCCCGTTATAATTAATTACTACTATCTTATCACTAATCTCAGGCCCCAAACCAAGTTTGCCCTAGAAGTCTAGCCTCCCCAGGAGAGAAATGACACAACGCCCTGCTCCGCCTCAGGCGAGGCCCTTCCAGACAGTCCTCGGTGCGCATGCGCGCCTGCAACTTGCAGCGCAGTTTGCACCTCTCGAGGAACTGGAGGCTCGCGCAAGCGCAGGAGCCAGGCGGCTCGCGCAGGCGCAGCTGGCCAGGGGAGGTTGAACTGGCCTCCCATCGTGGTCCGCCATGCCTGAGGCGTCCCGTTGGCACCGAGGCGGTGAGGAGTGTTCCCAGACTGGGTGGGACAAAGCGGACTTGTTAATTCCATAGAGAGAGGGCGCTGTAGCCCCATATCTGTTCATATGTGGGATGACCTCCAGCACATTTATCCTTTTCCGCCTCCCCTTACTCGGGGATGAACGGTGACCCCATTTTACAGATTGGAAGACCGGAGCTCTGTAGGGACGTGGCACTCGCTCCTCACCCTAAGCTTGAGCTGGGCGCTGGCATTTGCTGTGCAGTGGCCATTGGTAGACCAGTCTCTGAAGTCCATTGTTGATACGGGGAAATGTAACTTTGACCGACCCCAAGCCTAGTTCTTCCCGCCCCCCCAGGCTTCCCAAGAATCAGTAGTGACTGGCAGAGAAAATGATTAGGGACAGATGTGAGGGGTTTGTTTTGCATTTTGCTTTTTTTTTTTTTTTTTTTCATTTCAAGACAGAACCAGTCCTGTACATCCGCGTTAAGTTAAAAAATTCATTAGTATGCAGTCACAAAATGACTGCCCACTTACCCCAATGGGAAAATGTTAGTAATTCTCCTTCATAACAGTGAGAATCAAAAAATAATCATAAGCCACTGACCTGACTCACACAGTGTAACACTAAAAGTGGCTGTTTTTCCATCATCGTTATTTATACATATTATGAATTACATAATGATGTAAGGAAATTTTTGTTTTGTGTCTCACAGGGATTCCGAAACATAGGCTGCCTTTCAGAAAGGAAGAAATTAGAACCACACTTCAGGAGTTATTACTCTATATTATTTTTTTAATAAACCTATGTATATGTAAGTACACAGATATAGATGAAAATGCTATTTGGACTAAAATTATATGGAGATGAGAAATAAAACGTGGGTTTAACCCATAGGCTTTCAGAATACAGAAATCTCAAAAACTAGTGACACATTTCAGACATGATCTTAAATTCATATATACTGACAGTTTCCAATTCTTAAGGGACAAAACTTTACATCACAGATGTAAGGTACAGCTTTCATGGTCAACATTGATTGAATTAATTATTCCTTTGGGTTAGCTATTCTATCTTAAATGTAAATTATTCCTTTGACTTGGAAGTCTAACTTGATTTCTTTTAGAGCTATACAGGTACATTAGCTCAGTTTCATAGGTCAAACCACAAATGAGGCCAAACAAATTAGTCTTGGTTTCAGCTTTATTCTCTTCCCTGTTCTGTTGCACAATTAATAGTAAAATATGCTTGTGCTGAGTCACAGAACACATATAGGTCAATGCAGATTTTTTAAGGACTGGGAAAACCTGCATTCCTCCTATCTTTGGGTCAATAGCATCGACTTACCAGTATTAAAGAGCAATTTGTCCAACTTACAGTAGATGTAAACTGCCGCGGTCCGGCCGTAGCGGGTCAAAGGGGTCCCACAGGTGAAGGTAGGCGTGGGCGCTGGGTAATAGACGACAACACGCCTCAAAGGACAGTGAAGCTCTGTTCCGTTTATTGCAAGTACAAGTAGGTTTTTATATTTTCATTTTAGGTAGTGATTAACATTTGCAGTATAACATGATCATTTAAGCAGAAAAAATTAATACAAAGGTAATCAGTAAAAGTACGAAAGTTCCCATAGTCTCATCGTCCCAAAGTCCATCGTCTCAACTACTCACCATAGATTAGTTATAATAAACAAAGATTATTTTAACCAGGAGAGCTATTAGTCAGACAATTAGAAGTATCTTATTGTATATTAAAGTTTCTCAGAATTTGTCATAGGGCAAAAGGATACGCTAGATTGAGTAGAGAAAATAGGAAATTTATTATAAGGCCCTTGTGATGTCTAACTTAGCTATCTATCTTTTTTTGTCTAAAATGTTTTTTTTTTGTGTACTATAAATTCTGACTACTAGCTAGCTTTTGTTATTTCTTTGCCTGTCTAGTTGATATATATTCTTATTCAAGGTAAAGGAGGGGCTATTCCTATGTTGCAGGGGGCTTTCAAAGGTACTTCTTTTAAGTTTCTCTAGGAGTTCTTTTATAGACATGTTTTGTACTTTGATTCCCTCTAAGAAAGCAGTGAAATCATCTCCTGATTTCCTAGAGTTTTCTAACTTATCTTGGGTGTTTTTCCAATGATCTGTTACTGATTAAGCTTGAATTCTCAGATCATTCTGGTTGTTTCTTTGTACCTATATTCCCTGACGTTTCTAGTATGATATCATTATTCTGTTCATTGAGCCGGGAAAGGTCTAGGCACACTATCTGAATCACTGCAAGGGTATTCATAATGATTAAAGCAGAAAAGGTCATGATCCCCAAAGCAAGCACAATCACAATAGGTATTGCAGGGCCTTCCATGCCACGTCCACCAAGTTGGAAACTGCTTCCTTGAAGTCTTACACCCCCTCTCAGGACCTTGTCATGGAGAGAGGGATCCAACAGTGGACGCGACAGTGGACGTGGCAGTAAACTTACTGGCCAGACTTACCTCGTTTTGATGTGGACTATATACTGGCAATCATATATCAATTAATTGCTTTGTAAGGGTGAACTTGAGTTGGATCTGAATCACAAATACAACTGTAGCCAATCTCATTAGGGAATTGAAAAAATATAGAACGATCATAATGCCATTATTCAGGGATCAAAAATATGTTTTCATAATAAAAAGAATTGAAAACCTAAATCTCCAAGGACAGAGGATTTGTTTAACATTGTGTACAGTGAAATAATGCAACATTAAAGGATGGCGTAGGCTCATGTGTCATGGATTGATGTTGAAGGTACATGGTTTCTACAAACTAAAGGGCTTCTGGCAAAAAAGTTTAGTCTACACTTAACTGTAAAATCCATCCACCCCACCCCAGAAAGTGATAGAATACTTTTAAGAGCTGTTAAAAATCATATGCTATAACATAGTTTTAATTATTCTGCATGCATTATCTCACTTCTTATAACAAAACTGAGGTACTCAAACTGTTATGTTTGTATTAAAAGTCCATCGTCTCAACTACTCACCATAATTTGCCTACTCTCAATATGAAAAAGAGTCAGCTTGCAGAATAGTATGTGTAATGTGATCTCATTTTTGTAAAGAAATTTTTTCTTTAAAAATGCGCATGCATATAGAAAAATCTGTAGAGTATATGCCAAATCTAACTCTAGCTGTGGAATTACAGGAATCTACTTCCTGTTTTATATATTTCTATTTTAGTCATTATTACTTTTATAATTAGACCAAAAAATTGAATTTCAGAACAAAGTTGGGAACAAAATTAATTCATATTTAATCCTAATAAACTCATAGTTTTTAACCAAAATTTTATACAAAAAATTCTTCTCCTTAGTGACATTTGGAATGATAAACCCACACATGTATTACTTAAACAAAGTTATGTCATCTGTGTTTTTGGACACTTCTGTGCCTGGTGATGAAAGAACCAACTTTAAGTCTATTCACAGGACAGCTGATTTTTGGAAGGTAATGTATCTTGTGACTGTGGATAAAGTAGCTTTAGGGCTTGCACAAACCCATGGCACACGTGGTAGGCCCTCGATACATGTCTGTCGAAGGTACGAGTAAAAGTGAAATCATTTCTTTATATTAGAATCAACCAACCAGTGTTTATTGAGGACCCACGTTCTCAGTGTGATCAAGTTCTTATAACTTCAAATAAGCATTATTTACTGTATTTGGAAAATAAAAATCTTGCTTCTTACGTGAGGGGTTAGGATCCAAAGTTAGTCTATAGTCATGTGTAGTGAAAATTACTCCTAAGAAATGTTTAAATTGCCCTAAAGTGAAATATTTGTGTTTTGGGGTATTCTATACAACCCTGTACTCTGTGTGTTACAGTAATGTAGAGTATATAATAAAGAGTACATATAAAAACATAATTTTATAGTGTTTTTAATTGCGTAAGAGAATCACTCCTTCAACTTTGGGACAGCCTTGTTTTTTCCATTACACTCAGCAAGATGCTTACACTGTGAAGGAAGAGCAATTAAGAAAGACGGCAGTTTTGGGTATCCCAAGTCACGACCATTAGAGCATGCGTAGGGGAGGGGTAGGGAAGGCTTTCCAGGGGTGATGACAACTCAGCTGAGCTGTAAGGGATGAGTAATGGAAGGACATCAGAGGAAGAATAAACAGTGTGTTCTATAGGTAATTCCACATACAGAGCTATGTTTGACATTACAGCACATAAAGTGCCAAGCTGCAAATTAGGTCAAATCATGAATGCCATGCTAGTAATTTGGAATTTATGAAGGAGACAGAGTCATTATCATCATTATCATTAATATTAATGTTGGCTTGGTCAATAATTTAATTTTAATACTCATCTTCAAAATCACTGGTTTTTAGACTCCTGTCGGTAACATGAGGAATATAGGTTCTGTTATATATGACATGAAAACATTTTTCCATAACATCTGTTTTTCTATGTGAAGTTTATGGAAGGACCCCTTTTGGAAGGTCTGTACTGGGACTCACAGTCCAATGACAAAAGCAGTCACATCTACTACGAGAACATACTTCTAGGAGTCCCCAGAGTTCGTCAACTCAAAGTCCGAAACAACACGTGCAAGGTCTATCCATCTTTTCAGCCTTTAATGACTGACTGTTATGCCAAATACACTTCTGAAAATGAAGACATATCTGATTTTGGCCTTAAACATGATCCTGAGTAAGTAGTATAAAATTACACATAACGTATCCTAGCAGCTTACCATTATATCTTTAAACAATTGTGAAAATATGTATATTTTCCAAATCATACCAACAGAGGTCTTGTGTGAATATTAGTATCAAAAGACAACTCAAATACAGTGTTTAGCAAAGGAAGAATGAACTGTTACTTTTTGTTGTTGTTTACCAAATGCTATATTTTCATTTTTTCCTGGTATATAAAGTCTTAACTCATTGGACACAAGGCAAAGCGTCTATTTTTGCTCTTACGCAGTGAGCTACTACGCAGTGAGCTCTTCTGGCTTTGGCCAGACTCACCTCAAACACATCCCAAATGCTCCTTGGGATCTCTAAGAAATATCCTAGGTGCTTAGGCAATCTTCCTCCTTTCTTACTCTGACTTACCTCAGTGATCTCTCTATTGCTGCCATTATTAAAGGGGCAGTAGTTCTCTGCAGGTAGCACTGCATCTGATGACACCTGCCAAAGGCATTATGGCCATTGTTCTCCAAAACGGTGTACAGTTCTAGCTACACATTATATTAAAAATACAAAAGCTCAAAGCCACTGACATCACCTTCCCTTAGCACAGAAGCTGCTGGCATTATTGCTTGTAGGGTCCTATGAAAATCTTAAAGGGCAGATAATAAATCTTCTGTAACTATTTATCAGAAATAAAAATTCTATTTATTTTAGAGAGAATGAAATGGGGGAGAAACACTAACTTGTTGTTCCACCCATTTATGCATTCATTGGTTGACTCTTGTATGTGCCCTGACAGTGGTCGAACTTACAACCTTGGCACATTGGGACAACACTCTAACCAACTCATCCACCTGACCTGGGCACTTCCTACATCTACATAACATGCTTATACTGCTATTACTTGATTTTAGTTTATGTATTATCTCTGTCATGAAAGGTGACTGTCATGTGACCCTCTTATACCACTCTATTACACACACTTCTTATTCCTCTTAGTCTGTAGTTATACCATTTGTTACTTATTAATCACTGTTTATACTATAAATATTAACAATGATTACATCTCCTTCCTTGAACAACCTCCCCTATAACCCCAAGATTATGCCCACATTGCTTTGTAGTTTTTGTTGACTTTTCTTTGTGTGTGTTTTGGGTGTTCTTTAGGACAACAGAGTGCTTGTGTAATTTTTATAAATCTAATAAATTCACAAAGATGGTGACATTACTTTAAACACTACAGTACTATATACTGTTTCCCCTTCAATGAAAAATTACAAGATAAATTATAAATTACAAGATAAATTCCAATTTTAAATTGGAATTTCAAAACTCATGTTAGGTATTCAATATTCCCAATTCTCATAACTACAAATAATTTAAATACCAAAATTAACACTATGAATTTAGAATTATAATAACTTTAATGCCTTAACAACCAAAATAAAAATCAATTTGTGCTTGTTTAGCTACCCAAAATGTAACATTCATTAATTAAAAACATTTAAAAATTGAAACTAGGATAGTGTTGGTGTAACAAATGTTATTGTTTCAATTTAACAATCATGTGAAAAACAGTCAAAAATACAACTATAGAATTTTCATTAAATATGAGTATTTTTTCTTGATGGTGTCACTTTTTCCCCCACTACTGTCAACAAACATGGTATTGTAATAAAAAAAATACAAACTGAGCAGTACATCTCTGGGTGATTGTTCAGTCTGTTTTGGGAACGTGGAATGACTAAAATGAGGAATCAAGGCTTTTTTTTGTGATACACCAAAATTAAGATGAAAGTAGAAAAAATGGAAACAAAATTTAATTATGCACATTTTGCTTTATGTACTTTCATTAAAACAAGATACCTATATAACAATATATGCATTATAATAAAGTTTTTATTTACTGGACACTATATAAATGGTATATATGACCTTTGGAAGACACGCTATGAAGCACCTTTTTTCCCACACTGAGATCTTTCTGAATCAAAACCCTTGGTCTCCTTCTAGTTAAAGGGTTAAGATCTAATAAAACAATAGGGACAAAATGTCAAAGAACAAAATGAGTCATTTTCTGGATTTTAAGCTCTGAGTCAAAAATAGATTTAATTTTTTTTTCTCATAGCAGGCTGTCCACTGTCTTGTCCACAACTACTTAAAAAAAAAACATATACCTTAATTCTTTTAACTTCATCCTGAACTCATTGTCTTGCTTCAAAATTACTCTAATACACCCTGGCTGGGTAGCTCAGTTAGTTGGAACATTGTTCTGATATACCAAAAGGTTGTGGGTTCTATCCCTGGTCAGGGCATATGCAAGAAACAACCAAAGAATACATATAATAAGTGGGGCAACAACTTAATATCTCTCTCCCTCTCTTGCTCTATAATCAATAAGTAAAAAAATTACTCTAATGAACTTAGTACCACTTTTTTTTAACTGCTACTTTTGAATGGAAGTTTAGCTGAAATTCTTAGACTACTTCTCAGTCTTCTCATCTCTCCATTATTCTTTTTCTATCTAACAGATGGAAGTATTCTGCTCCAAGTACCAATTCCCCTTGGCACTGGGGATTTGTTGGTGTTTACCACAGTGGGGGATATCTTTTCACTTTATCAAAATCAAAATCTGACACCAAAACCAAGTTAAATACCCTTCAACTGAACAGCTGGATCACAAGAGGGACTCGAGTTGTTTTTATTGACTTTTCATTATACAATGCTAATGTAAACCTGTTTTGCATCATCAGGTGAGTGACCTGAAATCTTTATATATAGGCAATTTAAAAACCATGCACAGCCCTCACTAGGGTTTCCAGTTTTTACTGAGATTAAAATTAAAACCTTGAGTTCTGGCTGGTATGGCTCAGTGGATTGAGTGCTGGCCTGAAAACCAAAAGGTTGCTGGCTTGATTCCCAGTCAGGGCACATTGCCTGGGTTGCAGGCCAGGTCCCTCAACACAGGCAACCACACATTGATGTTTCTCTCCCTCACTTCCTCCCTCCCTTCCCCTCTCTCTAAAAAATAAAATCTTTAAAAATAAAATTAAAAGCTTTAAAATAAATAAAATGTAGTTCTGCTAATAATGAAAAAGAAGATAAAGGAACATCATAATCAGGTTCATTATTTCAGAATATACTCAAGAACATGGACAATGTTAGTTTTATATTACTAGAGGATATATAATCTTATTTCTTGTCATTCTACAATTGCAATGATCTAACATTTAGTTTTGCTGATTCCTTTATTCAAATAATTTGAACCTATTAATTTCCTTTTAGAATGAACTTTATTATTTTTTCTCAAGAATAAGCAATTTTTATCATGAACAGTATATTAACAGTAGCCAGCATCCTAGAAATGATACAGCAGCTGGTGATTTGAAAAAAATGGCCTCAATTCTTCAATCATTGCCATGTAACCTGGCAAGGGCTCTGCCTCCCAGGACAAGGCACAATACCCCAGCCCTCGATGCTTGGACTCAACCATTTAATTTTCTTTGATCAAGGGAATGCTGGCACATATGATACAAGCAGAAGTTGGAAAGTGGTTTATACATTAAAACTTGCTATCTTGCACCTCTGCCATTGCAGGAGGACATACCTGTGCTAACTTGTTTAATCCACCAGAAGGAAGAGAGACATCCTCTCGTAGAGAAGAACCACCCAAAGAGAAAAAATTCTTTCCATTTAGTCCAATTACATTAGGTCATCTACTTAATCTTGACCATACTAATTGGTTTAAGTCTGGGTTCTAGAATCAAACTCTGACAAAGGAAATAGGATTACTATTTTTGGACCTGTCTGTGGATTGAGTTAGTTTCCTCTAAGTGATCTGGGAATGGCTGGGTACCTGAAGTAATCAGGGTTCTGTTAACAAGAAGTCATGGGATAATAAATGCTAGAGAGGCAGAAAGTAATGTCCACTATCTTCTCAGTGAGTCACTTTTCCCTCGTGAGCCTTACACTTTTTTAAAAAGTATATTTTATTGATTATGCCATTACAGTTGTCCTATTTCCCCCCTTCATTCCCCTCCACCCTGTACACCCCTCCCCCACCATTCCCCCCTTTAGTTTATGCCCATGTCTCTCAAGTTCTTTAGGTTCTCTATTTCCCATACTATTCTTGCCCTCCCCCTATTTTCTACCTACTGTCTATGCTACTTATTCTCTGTACCTTCTCCCCCTCCTCCTCCTCCCACTCCCGTTGCTAACCCTCCATGTGATCTTCATTTCTATGGTTCTGCTCCTGATCTAGCTGTTTGCTTTTGTTTTAGGTGTGGTTGTTAATAATTGTGAGTTTGCTGTCCTTTCACTGTTCATACTTTTTATCTTCTTTTTCTTAGATGAGTCCCTTTAACATTTCATATAATAAGGGCTTGGTGATGATGAACTCCTTGAATTTGATCTTATCTGAGAAACACTTTATCTGTCCTTCCATTCTAAAGGAAAGCTTTGCTGGATAGAGCAATCTTGGTTGTAGGTCTTTGGTTTTCATGACTTGAAATACTTCTTTCCAGCCCCTTCTTGCCTGTGAAGTCTCTTTGGAGAAATCCACTGACAGTCTGATGGGAACTCCTTTGTAGGTGACTGTCCCCTTATCTCTTGCTGCTCCTAGGATTCTCCTCTTCATTTTAATCTTGGCTAATGTAATGATGATGTGCCTTGGTGTGTTCCTTCTTGGGTCCAACTTCTTTGGGACTCTCTGAGCTTCCTGGATTTCCTGGAAGTCTATTTCCTTTGCCAGATTGGGGAAGTTCTCTTTTATTATTTGTTCAAATAAGTTTTCCACTCATGGCTGTTCCTCTTCCCCTTCTGGCACCCCTATAATTCAGATGTTGGAACATTTAAAGATGTCCTGGAGGTTCCTTAACCATTCCTCATTTTTTTGAATTCTTGTTTCTTCATTCTTTTCTGTTTGGTCATTTTTTCCTTCCTTCTGGTCCACCCCCTTGATTTGAGTCCCAGCTTCCTTTCCATCACTATTGGCTTTCTGTGCATTTCCCTTCATTTCAATTAGTTTAGCCTTCATTTGTTCCTCTAATTTGTGACTAAAATCCACCAGTTCAGTGAGCATCCTGCTCACCAGTGTTTTGAACTGTGCATCTGATAGGTTGGCTATTTCTTGGTCGCTTAATTACTGGCTCTGGAGCTTTGAGTTCTTCTTCAGCCATAATGTTTGGTCTGTTCTCGCCTGTTATGTATGAGGAGTGGAGCCCTAGGTATTCACCAGGGCGGGGCCACTCACGTTGCTGGGTTGTGACACTGTATATGTGGGGGCGTGGTCAAAGAGGGGCAATAGTGGTCCCCTCTGCGGCTTCTCACCCCTGGGGCCTGCTCGATTTGTCTCACTGCTCGCTCTTTCGCCTGGTTTATCTGCGCACGAACGTGTGACCGTGGTCTGCCAGCCACCTGGCACCCTCACTGGGTCTGCCTGTCACAACCCCATGCCTGGGATCTGCCAACCGCCACCTGGGTCGGTCTGACCAAGTTTTCCTGCCCAACCCCGCTCCACCAGTCGCTGGCTCCACCCCTCTTACCGTTATGGCTAAAGGGTTCGTTGTTGTTGGACTTCCATATAGTTCAATTTTCTGTGTTTTGGTTGTGTTTTTTTTCACTAAAACTTTGTTGTCTTTAAACTTGGTTGTGCAAGGAGGCATAGTGTTTCCACCTACATACACCTCCATCTTTGCCAGAAGTCCGAGCCTTACACTTGTACTCCAAGTGAGATATAGAACTAGTGCTTATTCTGATTAGGGAACTCTACCCTTGTGCAATAGTTACAGTGAAACACAGCCACGGCCTGTACAATTTGTAAAAATGAATAAAACAAGTAAATTACTTTAAGCAGCCAATGGACAGTATACCTATTATTTTATAGTTCTTCAGGGAATCAGAGCTTTTTACCAACATTATTCACCCTCCCCACTAGTCTGTATCAGGATAAAACGAAGAATACAAATCATTTCTATGTCCAAAATAAGAGTAGAAACATTGGGGTAACTGGCCTAAACACAAATGAAGAACTCCTTGTAATACTAGATTAAGTCCACATTTCCTTTCTCTAGGTTTTATGCTTATTCTCTTTTTTTAAAGATTTTATTTACTTTCAGAGAGGGGGGAAGGGAGGGAGAGAGGGTGAGGAACACAAATGTGCAAGAATCAGTTGACTTTCACACGCCCTCCACTGAGGACCTGGCCCTGCGACCCACACATGTGCCCTGACTGGGAATCGAACCAGCGACCTTTCAGTTTGCAGGCTGGCACTCAATCCACTGAGCCACAGCAGCCAGGGATGTTATGTTTTAAAATGTTATTTTTTAGATATTACAGATTTTGAAACTTTTACATGGTAGGATATCTAATCAGTAGTTGTGAGGAAGCATATTGCTCACACTAAGACTTTATCTACTTGTTTCCCTTTTTGTACATGTATCTGGGAAACTAAAATAAATGCTGTTTTTTTCCTTTTGCTTATTATTTTACACTTCAAATCAAAATATTTTCTTTCACTCCACCCACTTATCCAACACTGCACACCTACTATGTGCAAAGTGAAACAGATAGTTCTTTTCCATTGTTAACTATTTTTTGGCATCACCTTATTCCATAACCAGTAAGATTTGTTACTCTCTTGCTTGTTCCTTAAAGTACTGCCAACTCTGAGTTATCTGAAGTTTTGGAGAACATTAAAATACAGTGAACCTCCAAACCTTTGTGTTGAAAGTCATTCTTGTATTTGCATATAGATCTTTGTATCCAACATCCAGTGCCTAAACTTATCACTTCAGTCCTGGCTGTTCTGGCTCAGTGGATTGAGTGCCAGCCTGCGAAACAAAGGGTCGCTGGTTTGAAGCCCCAGTGAGGGCACATGCCTGGCTTCCAGGCCAGGTCCTTAGTGGGGGGTGCTCAAGAGGCAACCACACATTGATGTTTCTCTTTCTCTCTCCCTTCCCATCTAAAAATAAATAAATATTTAAAAAAAATAAACATAACATTTGCTTTAGTATAATATATGATCTTGACATTTAGAAAGAAATCTCTGATAAGCTAAAGAGAGAGTGTATTTTCCTACTCTGAAGTATTCCAGAATTATGCATTTGGGGGCAGTCCTTGACTAATAACAGAAACTAACAGTATAGCATTTTCTTAAACATATCTCATTCTGCCCTTGCTGGTGTAGCTCAGTGGATTGAGCACGGGCCTGAGAACCAAAGTATCGAGGTTCAATTCCCAGTCAGGGCACATGCCTGAGTTACAAGCCAGTTCCCAGTGGGGGACACACAAGAGGGAACCATACATTGATGTTTCTCTCCCTCTCTCCTTCCCTTCCTCTCTAAAGATAAATGAATAAAATATTTTTAAAAAACGTATCTCATTCTTCTGTGGAAATAAATCAGTATCCCCAGTTATGAACAATCTAAATTCAGAATAGAATGAATGTCTGGCTAAAATCACATCTTACTCTTATTTATCTTGATCTGTGATCACTGTAAATTTTCAAAAAAAATGCAAAAAGTACAAAAAAACAGAGCCATTACAAAGTAAACCCACTAGAAAATTTTCAAATGGAACACATGACCTCAAGAAAATATATTTGTACAAAATAATTGATTGGCACCAATTAGCAATTTCACAATGACTTATGTACTGAAATATAAATGCCTGAAATGCAGTTACTTTCACAAATCTAATTTTACAGATTGGTGGCAGAATTCCCTGCAACTGGAGGAATACTTACTTCGTGGCAGTTTTATTCTGTGAAGCTCCTCAAATATGTTAGCTACTATGATTATTTTATTGCTTCCTGTGAAGTCATATTTTTAATTTTTATTATTGTCTTCGCAACACAGGAAGGCAAAAAAATAAAAGAATTCAAGCTTGCCTATTTCAAAAGTATTTGGAACTGGCTAGAATTACTACTTTTGATAGTAAGTATATATTCACAAGTATGGTTGAAGGGACTCATACATTAATTCATCAATAAGAGGGGCATAAAAAGAAAGTTTCTATTTGTCAGGGCTTATTTTAAAGGCTCCAAGTAGCGATCATAAAATGAACTGTTGCAGCACATACTAATGGTACCTCCAAAAGGGAAACGTCTATTTTCCCGCTTGGTTGGGTCCTCAGGAGGACCAGCACAAACCTAAAGGAATAGGTGATTCCATAGGCATTATGATTTATTGAATGTGCATGCACAATAGGTTTCACCTACCCCCACATAAACATGTATTCCTTACAGGGCCTCATCTTGAAAATCTTGGATCTTTTGGGACAAGGTCCTTTAAAATATACTCCTATGTTGCCTAAATCTGCTTCCCTCCTCACACTGACTTCTGAAATAGCCAAAAGACAAGCCTCCACAAAATACTGAAGAGGAAGGAGTTTGAGCAGCCAGAGGGTAGCTTATGGGCAGAGAATGTCAGGATAGGGAAATAGTCCCTGAAGGAAAAGTTCAAAGACTGCCCATCCTGGTCACTAAACCATACTAATAAACAAAGAGAAGTAGGCAGGGCTGGACAAATGATAAGAGCTTGCTTTTAGGACCAATACACGTTTCTGGCTTCTACTATCTTTCACCCCTACTGGGCAACTTAGTATATAAGCCTTGTTTCCCAAAACCAGATTGCAGGTTTACTGGAGTCAGAAAATATACCATCTACCTTCCCCGGCATCCCAGTAATGTTTAACATATGGTAGGCACAGTGTCAAATGTTTAACAATTTGAGTATTTTAGGCAAGGGAAATCAAGAAAATTTTCATGAGTTATAAAGCTCAGATACCTAGTTCTGAAATCTTCTGAAGTTAAGAGCTCTAGAAAGGTTTGTTTTTAAAACTGTAAAATTTCCTCCTTGTAGTGGTACATGGTGGAAATACTGAACTTTTAGGTATCACATGGTTAGATGGGACAGAAACCCTTATGGCCTCATCAGAATGACATAATCACTGTACACGTTTGTGCTTCATGGCCCAAAGAAACAGACGGATAGATTAGAATGGCAAGATCAGAATTCTTCTACTTTATGACTATGTTACCTTACATGTCTACCATATAAAAGCCTATGTTTAACCTCTCCCACCCTTCTGTTGAACTTTTCATGAACTTTTTCATGTGCTTCTTCACAGGATGCAGGGGATTTAAGAGGTAGAAATAGCCTTTAATTTAACCCTTCTTTTTTTCCCCATATAGTTGTTTTTTGTGGCCATTTTCATCAACTCATACTATAATATACAAACTTTACGGTTACTTAAACCGCTGTTAAAAAGTACTGAGAAATATCCAGATTTCTATTTTCTTGCACACTGGCACATTTATTACAGCAATATAATTGCTATTACGATCTTCTTTGCATGGATAAAGGTATTTATATTTTATTATACTAGATATGACAGAAAAGATATTTATTAGGTATTGAAATGGGAACTTAAACTACAAAGTCATGAAAAAAAGAATATTCTTGACTTTTAAGTAATTTTAAAAGGAGTTTAGCCTTGTAATGATTGCTGGCAAATCCTCAAATATTCCTATCATTAAGCACCTCCTTTAATTTAAAGCAGATTTCTTAAGTTAATTTAACTAAATTTTAAGTAATTATAATATTTCACATTCTATTTCAATTAAATTTTCTCTTTCAGATATTCAAGTTCATAAGCTTTAATAAGACCATGTTTCAGCTGTCATCAACCTTGTCCCGCTGCATCAAAGACATAGTAGGACTTGCCACCATGTTTTTTATTGTGCTCTTTGCTTACGCCCAGTTAGGATTTCTTCTTTTTGGATCACAGGTTGACGACTTTTCCACTCTCCAAAATTCCATGTAAGCTCTTAGTATAAATGTATTATATTTTCCAATTTATAACAAAAAAATCATGGAATGATCTATGATAAGTAGTAACATAAGCTTTAATAACAAACTTGGTTTATTTTCACTGATGGCCAAATATGTCATACGGTAGAAATGGTCAGGCATTGAAAGATCCAAATGGATAGTGAAATTGGTGTTTTAAGAGCTACTAGGTCAACCTGGAAAAATTTTCATTTCTTAAATAAACACAACACAAAGATAAAAGACCAAGTTAAATATTGAAACAGAACCTCTTATTCTCCAATCCCAAAGAGAAAAAAACACCTGATTTGTTGTGAAATTTTGATCTCCTTGCAATTCAGCACTTCTCTTTTTATTGTACATAAAGAACATGACAAACCAGTATTAAAACCTGGACAAGTACTCTACGCATGATCTAATAAGATCTTAAGTACTGGGGATGAAATTCGAGATAACTTTTTGAGTCCTAGAACTCCAACTAGCTGATTTCTTTGAAAATATTTTATTCCTTCATTGTGGATAGTTCATATGCCCCCTTTATTGTGATTGGCTGAAGCAACAAGGAACAAGAAGTGTTATTCCTTTTGATTGACAAATCATGCAGTATCTATGTACTTTTAAAAATTCCTTCTCAGATTTCCCCTTAAAACAAGGAACTCACACACAGAACACGCCCCTGGTATGTGTGGCATTATCAGTGCAAAGCAATGATGAGAGAGTAAGACACCGGGGTAAGAAATTCTATCTCTACTATAACTATGCTCATTCAAAACCATAATTTCTTAATTTTCCATCTTTAAAATTAAAAATATGAAGGTTTTAAATATTTTTAAGTGCTATTTCATATCGAAACAAGCTTTTATAGTTACTGAAGAGAATAAAATAAACTCATGTTCGAGGAACATTACCAGCATTTGGTTGAGATTTAGCAAGTGACAGAATTGTTGGTATCGTTATAAAAAGAGCAAAAACTAAACATATTGATATTATAAGCAACTTTAGGGCTCTTGGGTCTAGGTACAGGTTGAAAATGACTTACTGGACAAGGTCGAAGTACACTTAAGGTTTAGAGGGCACAGGAATAACTAAAATGGCCACTGCTAAGATCAGTTGGTAAAAAGTTATCTCAAGGTTCAAATCTTGTAGGTAAACACTGGGTGTAGGTAAACACAGTTGTTAAATAAATTGAAGCCCAACATTTCCTGGACTACCTGTTAAGCTATTGAGGCACCTCAAGTCTGGCCTTCAGGAAATTTTCTACATCTGGCTTTATAGACCTCTCTGCCAACATAACTAAAGCCAGAGAGCAAATGCCAGATGCAGCTGAATACTTCCTAGACACACTGGTAACCCCCATCAGTTGTCATGTATGTATAAAGCAATATAATATTTTCTGATGTTTTTCTTTCTTCCCATCAAAGATTTGCACAGTTTCGAATTGTTCTTGGGGATTTTAATTTTGCTGGTATCCAGCAAGCCAGTCCTGTCTTGGGACCCATTTACTTCATCACCTTCATCTTTTTCGTGTTCTTTATCCTGTTGGTAAGAATGACCATGTGTTTGCTTTTATGCTTCCATTTTTTAGAATAAAAAAATCAATGATTCAGAAGAAATTAAAGTATCACTGCTTAGATGTCAGTGCTTTATAGACTTAAGAATGGTGTAGATTCCTAGTATCCAGTGTCTAAACATTTTCAACTTGTCCTACGGAGAACGTGATCACCACAGTTACCATCTATCTGGGTGTTTATTGTGTGCCAGAAATGTGCTAAATCTTTTACAAATATAACTTGAACGTCCCAGGTCCCTCAAGCCACAGACATTCCATACCAGCAGGTATGAATCAGGCCATTAATATTCTGCCCACAATGCAATGGCTGTGGCCCTCAGAGATAAAAGTTCACACCTGTGATGTTTAGGAGTCTGCAGGATGGGTGTCATATGTGCTCAGGACCTGCTCCTCACTTCCATGAAAACGTTTGTTGTTATAGACAAAAGTCTTCACAGTGACCTAGCTGGACCACAGTGAAAACTGGAGAGGTGGGCTGTGGGTAAAAATATCCCTTCCACAGTCGTTTGTGTTACCTGAATAGTAGTAGTCTAAGAGCCTCAGTAAGATTTGCATTTAAACTTAGAATTAAAAAAAAAACAAAACCATCCTTATGAAACATAACATTCATGAGTGTTCCTCTGATATGTAATATTGATAAGTTAATGTAATACAAGTAACCAGTTCATATACACTACTTTAAATTCTGCTTATTTACCATAAACATATCTGCCCAGGTCCACACACTACACAGCAGTACCCCACTATACTCCATCAGAGTCTTCTTAGCCATCTCTCTGTTACTGACCATAGGAGTTACTTTTAAATTTTGAATCTACTTTAACAAATTCCAGCACTTGTTAAAGTCACTAACATTTAAATTTTTATTGAAATAATTATTTGAATATTTCCCTTAGAACATGTTCTTGGCAATAATTAATTATACCTATTCTGAAGTGAAAGCTGATTATTCAATAGGCAGAAGGCCAGATTTTGAACTCGGTAGCATGATTAAAAAGGTATGTCAAATTCTTTTCCTACTTAAAATTCTAAGAGAAATCTTGTTCAGTTTATATACTTGTGGTTTGAGTAACACCCCCAAGTGACAGGGGGGTTTGGGTTTTGTTTTTGTGGGAGCATTTTTGGTGGGGGTTATTCATATTTGTATTAACTGTGGCCAAAATTATTTCAGTTTAATGTATCAAATAGTAATTGCAAATACTAAGTGCAAAGGCGCTGAACAGAAGTATCTTTTCCTACAAAAATTTTTCAGTGTACATGCTGGCAAATCTATAAACTACCTAAACTCAGAACTCCACATGCCCATCTTCCTCACTTTCCTATTTCTGTCAATGACAATACTCATTCCTCAGTCACCCCAGGCTCAAAAACCTTGAACTTATTTCCCTGTTCCTTATTCAATCTATTGCCAAGGCTTGTATGTGAAGTTCATCTCTGTAGTCTTTGTTCATGTTTGTGGAACTTAAGGGCACTTTGAATTCTAACTGCCACGACTATCCTAGGGCCCTTCTGTACAGTAACATCTTCTTACCTGTTCTAGCCTCTTGCCTGTGCCGGGCCAGCTCCGAGCATATCTCTTCTCTGCTCAAAATTCCTCAAAGTTCCCCTGGGCCTATCAAAATAAGTCCAAATCCTTTACTCAAACATTCAGGGCCCTTTTAAAGTCTCACAGCCCCAAACTATCACAATCCACTACCACCTGACTACAGAATTTCTACTTCCTATGCCTCCATTTATAGTATGGTGCTTCCCAGTCAGTGTCTTAAGCACAGTGCTATCTATATACTGTGCTTGCTGTCCCCTTCTCCTCTGCTCATGCCATTCTCTGACCCCAAGTATGTTTCCTCCACGCGCTCTCTCTCTCTCTCTCTGACATTCTCTTCTTGATAGAGTGGAATCTTCTCTGCCTGCTTGACACTTACCTCACTTTGGGTCATAGCAGCATCATGTGCATGCACACCATCCTGCCCACCTCTGCATACCCACAGCTTTGCACTTAACATGAAAAATGTCCTAATGGTGGGTATAGGATTTAAGAACTCTGTCTGAGAACTCATCTGTAAAAGAAAACTGTTAATATGCCCCTTACTGAGTATCCTTGTGGTTTCCTCTTTTATCTCCATTATGTTGGTTATATGCATTAAAGTCTTAAGAACTTTACTGCAATAAATGTTAATAACACTTTTTAAAGATTTCTTCCTCAAGTTCAGGTGAGATGCCCACAGGAGAATCCCATTTACTTTTCACCAGCAGGCAGAACCCGTAGTGCCAACAAACTGAAAGAAGGATACATCATAGCATTTACCTCTACCTTTTTTTAGAGTAGCAGTCCCTAGAGATAAGCACTTAATATGTCCTTTACCTGAACCAAAAGTGAATATAGGATATATTTTTGGTGACCTTTTAAACTATTTTTAATTATGTCCAGAGTTACAACAATGTCCTCGAAAAACTCAGACTAAAGAAACCTCAAAAGGATGAAGATGATAAAGGGTAAGATGACTTAAAATTTTTAATTTACCATTTTAAATCTCTATATTGTATGAGAAACTTACATTGAGAGTTAAGTTTTGATAGCAAAACCACCACCATCCAAAGTACTGACTTTGTCTTGAAACTGTAAGCTAATGTAAAAGTAACGTAAGGTGTGCCATGCTACTAATACAGCTGAACAGAAGCTGGGCAAGAGAGTGAAGTCCCCCTAAAAAGGTAGGGAACAATTTCCGTCTACATTAGGTACACTCATTTAGCTATTGAAATAAAACAATTTTACCCAAAATAATTAATAATACACTTAACCTTTATTAAATTATTTTGTTGTCAAAATACTTCCGAAACCCACACCTCTGACAATGGGATATCGTATAAACAGTTTCTTATAGCTAGGGATATCTCTGGGTAACTTATCAATAACCACGTTTTCCAAATTAGTATTATCAGAAAAGAACAGAAATACGATTCTGATCTTTTCCGTAAATCTGATTGTATTTTATGCTGGCACTTCCTTTTTTACTGACATATGCCTCTAATTTCTATTTTACACTCAGTATAAAAAGCACAGATTTGGCTGAAGAAGCCAGAAGAAAAGGCTTTGATGAAAATGTAAGATTTTAATTTTCTCATAAAGAATTTATAGCTTTATTAGAAATATGCTTAGAGCTCTGGCTAGTATGGCTCAGTGGACTGAGTGCTGGCCTGTGAACCAAAGGGTCGCTGGTTCAATTCCCAGTCAGGGCACATGCCTGGGTTGTGGGCCAGGCCCCCAGTTGGGGGTGTGCAAGAAACAACCACACACTGACGTTTCTCTCCCTCTCTTTTCCCTCCCTCTAAAAATAAATAAAATCTTTAAAGTAAAACAAAAAGAAATATGCTTACAAAAGCATTCTGATTTAGAACTGAAGTTTCTTTTTTCAGAACAGTAGTTGCTCCAATTATTTCTCCAATTATTTCTCTCAGAATCCAGATCCTTGTTTAGGACAAATCATTGGGATTCCAGATGCTCCCTCTTTCTTATTGGTGCTCTTAGCCAGATACCCTGGTCCTACCACTGTGCACTTGCTGTGGGATAATCACACAGGGTTTAGAGAGTATACTCTATTGAAATGATTATATAATTTTTCTTTTGTAATCTTAAATGTGATAAATTACTTCAATAATTTTTATACTTAAAAATTGTAACATATTCAGTAAATGACTCAATACATATGTGTTTAAGAAATAATTATAAAACACACGATATATGCAAAGAAGAAAATGTAAGCCAAGGATTTTTATATCCAGCAAAGCTGTACTTCGAAGCTGTGGGGTTTTTTTTAAAGATTTTTATCCATTTATTTTTAGAGAAAAGGGAGAAAAAGAGGGAGATAAATATCTATGTGAGAGAAAAACATCAACCAGCCATCTCACCCCACACGCACCCCAGTGGGGACCAAACCTGCAACCCAGGCAATATGCCGACTGAGAACTGAATCAATGACACTTTGCCTTGCAGCAAAATGCCCAATTAGCCATACCACTGAGGGCTCAAACAGTTTTGAACATGCAACAAGTCAGGTAATACTGTTGTATTCCTGAGGATTCTACAAGAGGGTCAGCTTCAGCCAACGAGGAGATAATTGGAGAAATTTTGCAAAAAGGAAGGAGGGAGAAGGTATAAAGTAGAAAAAGCTGACTGGCTCATATATAATAGCTAAAAGTCTAAAAATGATCATTGTGTTAATAACCAAGAAGAAGAAACTTTAGCATATTTAAGAGTACAATAATAAATAGTAAGAAAATTTGTATTTAATGATTAAGAAAACTTTTTTTCACATTTTAACCTCTCTGAAATCAAGTAGTGCCTTATGGTTAACAGTATGTCATACTTTAATTGGCAGCATTTTTACTAAGTGGTACATAAAATAACAGTGCATCTTACAATAGAATTCACCTCTCAGATACAAGGAAATATAGTAACATGATTGAAAATATAATTGGGGCCCTAACCAACATGGCTTAGTTTGAGCATCACTGCAAAAAGCGAAAGGTCACCACTTCAATTACAAGTCAGGGCACGTGCCTGGGTTGCAGGCCTGGTCCCTGGTTGGGGTTTGTGGGAAAGGAAACTGATTGATGTTTCTCTCCCTCTCCTTACTCTCTCTAGAAATAAATAAATAAAATACTTTCCAAAATTAAAAATGTATATAATTGGGTAGGAGAGAGGAAGGAGATGAAGAGGAAGAAATTACAAGCTAATTTTCTTGTTGAACTTGTTTGGTTCCTTGTTAAGGGAACAACAGCAAGAAAGGAAGGACCCATAGGGCATAACAAAATACATGAAGAAAAACAAAAATACCTGAAAGGGAAGTACTAAAACAAAAAAGAGAACAGAAAGTGTAGCACAAAGTAAAAGACATAAAATATAACCATAAGACAGTATGACACAACCATGACCACATATATATCTGACATATCAGTAATGGCAAAACAGAGAATAGGTCAAGAAAAATAAAATAAAAAGAAACCAAAACAATATAATGAACAGGTGATCTTACATATGTATTAAACTCAAAATACACCTTCTTTTTGAAAACTCGTTCATTAAAAATGATCATATATTGGGCCACAAAGAAAACCTCAATGAGTTGTGGGGGGGGACTTCCGCCAAGATGGAGGCATAGGTGGAGACGCTGTGCTTTCTCACACTACCAAGTTTAGAGACAACAAAACATTAGCAACAGAAAACACAGCCAGAACACAGAAAATTGAACTTTTTGGAAGTCCGATAACAATCGAATGCTTCAGCCTAACCGGTAAGAGGGGCGAAACCAGCAGCTGGCAGAACGGGTTTGCACAGGAAAATTCGGTCAGACTGATTCAGGCGCGTGGAACCCATGCGTGGGGTTGCAAAGGGCCGACCCAGTGAGCGACCAGTGGATCCGGCGAGGGTGAAGGGTGGCGGGTTGACTGTGCTGGCACATTCCTGCACAGATAGACCAGCGAGGGAGTGGGCAGTGAGACAGGATCTAGTGGGTCCCAGCGACGGGAGACCGCCATTGCCCCTCTCTGACCCCACCCCCGCATACAGCATCACAACCCAGCGACCCCGCCCTGGAGGCCCCACCCTGCCCCTAAGGCTCCTCTCCTCATACTTAATGGGCACGAACAGACCAAAAATGGCTCAAGAAGATCTCAAAGCCCCAGAGCCCATAACTCTAAGTGGTGAAGAAATAGGCAAACTTTCAGATGCACAGTTCAAAACAATGGTGATCAGGATGCTCACAGAACTGGTTGATTTTAGTCACAAATTAGAGGAACATATGAAGGCTAAACTAATTGAAATGAAGGGAAATGCACAGGAAACCAATAGTAACGGAAAGGAAACTGGGACTCAAATCAAAGGAGTGGACCAGAAGGAGGATAAAAATGACCAGAAAAGAATGAAGAAACAAGAATTCAAAAAAATGAGGAGAGACTTAGGAACCTCCAGGACATCTTTAAACACTCCAACATCTGAATTATAGGGGTACCAGAAGGGGGAAAGGAACAGCCACCAGTGGAAAACTTATTTGAACAAATAATAAAAGAGAATTTCCCCAATCTGGCAAAGGCAATAGACTTCCAGGAAATCCAGGAAGCTCAGAGTCCCAAAGAAGTTGGACCCAAGAAGGAACACACCAAGGCACATCATCATTACATTAGCCAAGATTAAAATGAAGGAGAGAATCCTAGAAGCAGCAAGAGCTAAGGGGACAGTCATCTACAAAGGAGTTCCCATCAGACTGTCAGCTGATTTCTCAAAAGAGACCTTATAGGCAGGCAAGAAGGGACTGGAAAGAGGTATTCCAAGTCATGAAAACCAAAGACCTACAACCAAGATTGCTCTATCCAGCAAAGCTTTCATTTAGAATGGAAGGATAGATAAAGTGCTTCTCAGATAAGATCAAATTCAAGGAGTTCATCATCACCAAGCTCTTATTATATAAAATGTTAAAGGGACTCATCTAAGAAAAAGAAGATAAAAAAGATGAACAGTGAAAGGACAGCAAACTCACAATTATTAACAACCACATCTAAAACAAAAGCAAGCAAAAAGCACAGCTCGATCAGGGGCAGAACCATAGAAATGAAGATCCCATGGAGGGTTAGCAACAGGGGAGTGGGAGGAGAAGGGGGAGAAGGTACAGAGAATAAGTAGCATAGACGGTAGGTAGAAAATAGATAGGGGGAGGGCAAGAATAGTATGGGAAATATAGAATCCAAAGAACTTGAGACACATGGTCATAAACTAAAGGGGGGGAATGGGTAGGGGTGGGGGGTGCAGGGTGGAGGGGAATAAAGGGGAGAATAGAACAACTGTAATGGCATAATCAATAAAATAAAAATTACAAAAAAAGAAAAACTCAATGAATTTCAAGTAGTCAGGTAATTAGTAGTCAGGTTAATATAGAAAAATATTCTCTGAAAACAACATAAAAACATATTAATGAAATTAGAAAATAAAAATATTGAAGGCCCTGGCCGGGTAGCTCAATTGATTGGAGCATCATCCAGTGACCAATCTCCAGCACCAAACTTCACAAACCACTTATGACATGTTTGATCAGTCCCAGCACCTTCTTCATACACTGCACACATCTTCCTTTCAGTTGTTTTTACCTTTGTTGAAATAATGAAGCATAATATGCTGAAATGTTGCTTATTTTCTTCAATCTTCAATCTTAAAATGGCTATCCAAAAATTCACAAACTTTGGTAAGTTTTTTGTTAAATGCATGCAGATATGGCAGCTGGCACAACACACTCTAACAAAAATGTTTCAAATGAAGTAAAGACAACTAAATGCTACTAGAGCCATCATATGGGAAAAAACTAAACAAACTTTTTGGCCAACCCAATAAATTATTGTCCTACTACTTTACTGAATCCTCTCATACATTTTCAGTTCATTATACACCTAGAAAATTTAAGGGAATCACAGAGGTCATCACTACCATTTCCTTTTTAATTCTTATATATTCTCATTTATTTCCAAAGAAGACATATAGATGGTCATCAATAGGTACATAGTACAGGTGCTGCAGAGAACTTCCATCTGCAGAAGCAATGCTGAGAAAAGAAAACAAACCCTAGTGTCCTCCATCCTCTCATAAGGAGGAACCTAACAAATCCAGTAGCAAAAGTCTGAGGAATAAGTTCTCAAAGCCTGAGACACAGCATCACAGAGGAGAGAATGTAAGAGGGTAAATTTTGAGTTGAGAGACATTAGCTACATAATTGGCCGTTGCCCTTTTGGCTATTTACTACACACATTTGAACTTCCATAAAATGACAATAACTATGTCAAGTTTCCACCTAATAAGATACGACTATCTTTTATACAAGGTACTCACTCTCTCCCCAAAAAGGGGGAGAATCCCAATAGTAATTGTATCCATCCTATGATATTAATGCCTTTTCTACTCAAATACAAATTCCTTAAGAATCTGATGTATAAACTACAATGTTTATTTTTGGACATGGAAGTATTAGGAGCACACCACCCAAGATTTCCCAGGCTCCAAATACAGCCCTCTCTGCACTCATCTTGTGGCTGCAACCAACTTGCCCTTGAGAATTAGGATCAGTCACCTCAGTCAGTACAATATTTGCCTGCTGGGTCAGTAGCCTGAGGGATCCCCAATGGCCAGGTGGTAGTCTCAAATTCTTAAGTCAATTGTTTGTGTCCCTTGGTGGAAGGCTATTTATGAGCTTGTTCCTTTGGCCCTCCTCTGCTACCAGGGACTCATCACTTAGGGTCCAATCAGAAAACAGAAATACACTAGGTAGTTTAAAAGGTTTGCTACAAAGAATTCATTTCTGAGGTATTAGAGACTATAAGAGCCAATGTGGAACACTAGGTTAACCCAGACACAACGGTAAAAGGCAGCAAGCCTTTTACAGGGAAGAGGTGGGAGGATTAGAACCTAGGGGCTTGGAGGAAATGCCCCAAAGACATACTGCTGTGCCTACCATTTTCCTATGACTGTCAAGGACGGCTTTCTGAGATCAAGTGATGGTTGAGATGGGTTTTTTGAAAGGTGAGGCAAGTTTATCAGACTCAGTCTATTCAACCCATATTACTCTGCTTCCACATTATAATAGGCTTGGTCATTTAGAAATAGTTGTGGGACCTACCACTTTTTAAACAGCACATTAAAGTGCTAGTAAATATGTCAAAACATGGGTACTATATTGTGGCCAAAATAAAAGTAGAAAGACTGAAAGCCATCCTTTCCTACTTCAAATATGTTGGTGTAAAGACAAACACTATCTGATGGTTTCTCTGGTCAGAACAGCACACATTTACCAGGTAAACAGTGCAAACTTAGGCACCACCACACACTCTGAGAAAGGTAGTGAGAGCCTGTATACAGGGACCCACTTTGCCACTTAGCGCTACTGCCAGAGCGGGCAGTATCATACTCATTTACTGACAAGTATTTGAATCACAACTGGCTGCACTTTCCTCTTTCCCTCTCTTTCCGGAGCTGCCCTTATACCCCATAATGTACAAGGCAGTTTTTCTAAAGTTAGGTATTTGGACACTAAAAGTGGACAGCAGTGAGGCCAAAGCACAGGAAGGACTGTTGAGGATCAGAGGAGTAGTAACAAGGAGTAGAAAATTCTTGTAGTAACAAGAATTTTCTGGTATGAGGAACCCATATGGGGCTAAGTAGACAGATTGGAGAGCCCAGGTTGATGCAGTAATTATGAGGAGGGGATTGGGATGGTTAGGTAAGACTGCAGGAGTCTGGCTGAGAAGCAATTGGGTGGGCAATACCCACAGATGTACTTTGAGGCACATTTGCTTCATTCGAGAACAAAGGTACAGAAATAGCTCTTGCCAAGTACAGAATGAAGACAACCATGAAATAAGTCAGCTGGAGATGCAGAGGGGAGGATGCAATGAAACGAGAATAAGCTGATAATTATAATTTTAAAATTCCCCAACTCTGCCAACAGCTCTAACACCAGGCCCTCTGAAGGGACTGCTGATGCACAGACCTGAAAACTGGCAAGACAAAAAGCCAGTGGGGCTCAAAAGCACAGCCCTGGAGGGTATGGTTTCAGATTCTCAAGCTTGTGATGATTGTGTGACAAGCCTGAAATAGAGAAAAATGTGAAGATTGCAGCCTAGGCTTTTCCTCTAACTTGACAGGAGATTCGAAGTGCAGAGCAGATGAAAAAATGGAAAGAGAGGCTGGAGAAAAAATATTATTCTACAGAAATTCAAGATGACTACCAGCCTGTCACTCAAGAAGAATTTAAAGAGTGAGTATTTGTTCTCGCCAGGGTACTGTGGGATACACGGCATCAGGACTGGGCACTTGAGTTACACACAATATTTTCCTGAACACAAAACCTATTCTGCTAAGATGCCACTTTTCTTTTTCTTTTTTTTTTTTAACCCAACTTTAAACAGAATGCAAAAGGCTTCATTTGTTTAAATGTAAGAGTGAGACCAACTGCTTTTACCCTTATATCTCTAAATAGGAGCTGTCATTCATACTTGGTATACATAGCAAATACTGTTCTCCACACAACTTTAGAATATTTGATTCCTGACTGACTAGGAATGTTGGGGCAGCTTCAATACAACCTTTCCACTCAAAGCATTTCACAACAGGCACTACTAACCTGCTGTTTCTTCATGCACAAAATGTTATTGACTCATTCTCTGCTTCTTCCTATGTTATTCTGTAGCCTGTTTTTATATGCTGTGGAGCTGGAGAAAGAATTACACTACATCAGTTCAAAACTAAACCGACTGATGAGAAAGGTCTCAGCTCTACCCTACTGAGTGAAGTGGAGGTGAGAATCTATGATGCAGTCATTGCATATTTCTAACCAAGATTCATTCCTGTACTGAATTACTTCCTAACTGGCTCCCATTTCCAGTTACTTTAAAAGCACTAAGCCACCCATCATCAAACTATTGCCAGAGTCACTAATAATCATCATCAAACAAATTCCAGGCCTTAAGTGCCCCCCAGTGGGATCTACTGTACAACCTACACACATTACAACATGCCTCTAACATACAGGTTTACACAGAGATTTCATAATTATTACTGAATCCTAGGAGTGTGAAGAGAAAGTAGAAAATAATGCTTTTAGTTCATGGGGCAGGTCTCTAATTAATAGTTTGGTAAGCAGGCCAAGACAGTTTTCCAATGCCCCCTGGAAGGGAAGAAGTGTGGGTGCCCTCATCATACACTACATTCCAACTTCCTTTAACCAGGTAACAAACCCAGAGGAATCTGCAAAGCCATCAATAATGGCTCAAGTAAAATAATCTCACCTCCATTCTTCCCAATCTGAAGTCTCCTATAAAAAGCCAGTGTTAAAAAAACAAACTTTCCAACCACCTGTACAAATTTTATTAATCTCTTCAAACTGGAAATTTGAAAACTAAGATGGTTTCTAAAGTAACACATCTAAAGTTTCCCAAAAGTGCTTCCTTAACCACTTTAAAAGCTAAATATACTCTAAAAAATAAAGGGCAAGATAGAGTGTCAGGGTTATACAAAATCAAGTTGTTAGAAAAGTATAAATCTGTATACTTTTCTATACTGCAAAAGCCCCTGGTTAGATGGTTGGAAAGTTATGTATGTATGTATAGCTGGCATTTTGGAAATGGGAAGGAAACTCTTGAAGTTACATAGGCCTCCTAGAAGAACTTTTTGTTCTCTTAGGCCAAGCCAACAGCATCTGACCATAGTACTCAACACCCACAGCCCTGCTCAGTAATCCCTGGATTTTAAAACCTGAATAAAGGAAACTTTAAATCTACCCACTTTCCTCAAGCCAAGCTCTTCTCTTAGAGACTGTACATCAAGTTTCCTTAATAAGAAAATTCACTGCAACTAGAAATGCTGACTATTCATTCTCTCTGCACCTTCTCCCTACATTCCCACAAGGCAATAGACAGCATGGCCTCTCCCTGTCTCGCCACTCCCCAGAGCTGTAGCCAGCCAGGTGGTTCACTAACCCTGTTGTCCCCTCATACAGTCCCAGGTTGGGGTGATTCAAATATAGCCTAAGAACACTAAGACACAGGAACATGAAGTTTTTTCCTTTTTTAACATCTAGAGGGAAAAAAAAGCAAACATTTACAATGACTTAGAACATTCAAGTTCTTTTATTATAAAAGTCTATACAATCAAGTGCCAGACACAGCAATGCAAATATACTGGTGGTCATATATATCTATATATATTGTCTGTATATAGATATACAGTTTTTACTTGTACCAAAGTAAAACTATCACAAACTGCCTAATTCTACTACCTACTGCTCAACTATGACACACAATACTGTCACACAGCGTAAGTGCTGCCATGCCACTTTCATCTATTCTATTCGCAGCCAAACATTAACAGTGGACAACCAACATCATGAAGCAGCTGTTAATTTTAAAATGAACCAGTCAGGCCACTGACTTATAAAAATATGGTACTCATATAGATTTAGCATTATAAAGAAGGAATATATTATTTAAACATTTAAATAGTGCATATGGACATTTTTGCATGTGGTATATAAAATAAAACATTCATATAAAACAATATACAGTGCACATTAAATTAGATGTTTGGATATACTCCTGTCAGGAGACTGACAGAAATTAACTAAACGTACACTGCATGATGGATTCAAATCAGAGTAATCTTTTGGCATTTTCAATTTCACTTTTCTAGGTATACATTATAAATAACCTAGCTGTAGCAAAAGTAAACCACACGAAAAAGGTTGGATTTAGTGCTTTATTCCCCAACTACATGATCACTACCAATGAATATTCCCTCCCCACAAAAAAGGCATTGCACACACGGGTGAAATGTGAAGTACTAGAAATGCTACTTATTAAGCTACTTCATATGCTTACTATGTAACAGCCAGAAGTCTGAGGTTCATGCTCCCCCCGCCCCCATCTTATTAAAGAATGTTGCAAAAGTCCATTTTGTATGGAACAAATTGTTAACATTAGCTTGTTAAGAAAACCATGCATGAGTCATTGCATGCAAAACATGGGCACAATCAAAGTGAAACACTCATCAATCCAACAAAGCACCAGGAAAAAAGTAATACTTAGATTAAGCCTGACTAAAATATGCTATTAACGCCTGTTATGTTGTTAGCATAGAGTCACCGTTCTGTGAAAACGGTTAGCAAAATGATACCAGGAGAGAACCTGAAAACACACCATGCAAAGCCAAAGAAAAAAAGATCTGCTTACAGTACATGACAAGGGGCATACCACTACACATCCTGTGACCAGCTGCTTTAAACAGCCTGTGACCAGGTAAAAGGTGGTCCCTCTAAAAGATGTTTTATGGATTTTGCTGATTAAGAGAAAAGAAAAAGATGTACCCCCACCCCCCGGAAGGTATACATAAAAATACAGTGATATAGCCCTTGTTCAGAATAGATTTCTTCAGGCATAATCATTCTTCTGCCAGTGTAGGCCCCATTTGATCGAACACACAAATCTGAGTCCCATCAGAGTGCCTACATACTGACATAGCTATGCATTACTGGAGGTGGGTAGGGCAAAAAAAAAAAAAAAATGGAGGAAATGATCCAGACAAAGTACATCACCACCAACTGATAAACAGTGAATAAGAAAGCAAACAGTAACAAATCCCATAGGCAGCATGTGGTATGATTCAGTTCTGTGTGTTATGTGTGAAGTGTGTTTTCACTACAGAAATAAGGAAGGTCACTTTTTGGTCTACCTTCTATTATCTTGAGCCAGGAACTGTGTGACCACTAAATTGCAAAATTTTGCTAACATACTACCTGTGAAAAAGTGTCACTTTGAGAATTAAACAGAAATGTGTTCCACAATAGGACTTGAAATTTCCGTTGATTTTGGTTTTCTAGGAAAACATAGAACATAGTTGCATATGTGCACATTTATAGGCTTTTCTTTCATATTTTCAGTCATTCTGTAAGAAAAAGGCAACCGAAGAATTCAATGTGAAGATTTTCCTCTTAATTTTCTTCAGTAATGACAAAATAATAAAGTTGGAAATAACAAAAAGCTTATACTTCCAAAGTTCTTGAAGTTGAAAGGATAAAATACTAGTCTTTTGTTAACAGGATGTATCTGTGGTACAAAACAATGAAGAAAACTGGATGTTTGTTAAAGGTGGAGAGGACAGTCTGTGGTTAATACGGACCATGTGCTCCCTAGAGAGGGTCTACTTACCCCCCATTTCTCTAGTGGTGCCACAACCAAGTTACAAAATGAACTCAAGTACCAGCCAAGTACACACGATGATAGCTTAAGGGAATACAACTGATTTTATGATGTTTCAAGGAGCATATTTTATATGGATTTTGAAGAATCTTGTTTGCTGATAAGAACTTCAAGAAGCCTAAGCTTGGCTTTAATTTTCTTGTACTCCCTGTATTCCTCAAGCACTGGGACACGATCCTCTTTCTGGGCATTCCTAGGGGAGAAAATAAAATGTGTAATAGTCTAGAGATCATCTGGAAAATAAAGTATCAGAAGTTGTCCTAATGTGAGACAATGTTACCAAATATAAATTCAAATGTTTAAAATTGTTCTTTAAGAATGTTAAACTAATTCCCACCATCTCCAAGAAACATTCCTGAACTACTCCTATTTTTGATGAATTTCTCTACCGACAGATTAAATGGTACTATACTTATCAATGACCACTGCAGATAACTAGAGGTAATATTTCAATAAGACATTCACTGCTAGACTCTATCAGGTCTGTGGATACATATTAAGTGCTAGAGAGCTACATTGAGTCAGTTCATACATTAACTGTAGCTTCAGTGAGTTGTGAAAGTAAACCATCTTACCTGTGGTAGCAAATATGTAGTTTCCTCATTTTGTATTACTAATGACCCAATGCAATTCAGTTTAATCATTAGGTAAAGCATCAAACCATCCTAAGTAGTATAATTATAAGAAAAGTTTTCTTCCAATAAGACAAAGAATTAGAAGGTACTTGAAAAACCCATTCCTGTACTTGAGATTTTTTTAAACCATTTTTGCCAACCTATACAGAGGACTCAATAGCTACTGGCTGATAACACCACCCAGTTACAGGGAAAAGCTTTTCTGATACCTGAGATAACCCTCAATTCTGGCTATCTTTTGCATTAGAATGTATTTTTATTTTAAAAAGAGCTAACCAGGTCAACTGTGCATGATGCAGTTAGATAAAGACAATCTGTTATACTGTATTATAGGAGCCACATGACTGCCACCGTGTTACCTTGGAAATATGCAGCGTAAGCAACAATGGTCTTAATATAAGAATCCAAACTAACTAAATATACAAATAATGTTATGGGACCCTTTCTAAAATGAGAAACATTTCACAAACACTCCCCAAAGAATGAGGATATAGTGTAAAAGAACAAAAAATAGTTGCCACTCAACCAAGCCTTCCTAGGACGACAACCTTGGATTATTTTATCAGATGTTGTTTAACTCCAGCTCCAACTTCTCTTGCCATTAATAGCAGGGCTTCAACATACAAAATAATGTTTTTACTTTTATTTTCAATGCTAATATCCTTATATGCACAATTTATTTCTGTGTGTGTGTGTATATATATATATATATATATATATATATATATGTTGATGTTGTTTTTAAGATGTTGTTTATTTATCTTTGGAAGGGGAAGGGAAGGAGAGAGGGAGAAAAATATCAACACATGGTTTCCTCTAGTGCATCCCCTGCTGGGAACTGGCCTGCAACCTAGGCATATGCCCTGACTGGGAATCGAACCGCCATCCTTTGGTTCACAGGCCTG